CCCCCCCCCCAAACGCCATACAATTTCCTATATAAACAAGTCTATAGTAAATCCTATATATAAAGTGGGCACACAGGGGGTAGTACAATCCACGTAGCCCCTGCTCAACAGTACCACAGCCCGCAGCCGCGGTACCGTCCGTAGCAGAGGAGCGAGAGAGCGAGAGCTTGGGGAGAGCGGTCACGATGAGCACAGTCTCCGTGGGGAGGGGATTCCTATCAACAACCCCCTTCGATAAGACGGCTTGGCTAAACCGCGTCTGCCGAGAGCGAGCGGATGGCATGGAGTTTGTTTGACGCTGCGGACACAACTTCGGCGACGGTTCAGGAGTCGACGAGGGCACCGCCTTGCAGCATGAGGCTTCGCACAAGCACGAAGAGTGAGTGTAGAGGAATGAGGATCAGTTTGTGAGATTGCCTTGGTTACATAATAGTATAATCTGCCTCGCAGCAGCAGCAGCAGCAGCAGCAGCAGCAGCAGCAATAGCAAGAACAACACACACACCACACACCAAGGTTGGACGCACAAGAGTGCGCGAATGCGGAGCCCTCGCGATGCAACTGCCGTCGTGTTGCACACACCAAACGTTGTTGTACTGCTGCCCGTGTAGCTGGCAGCGGCAGCTGCGTATGTGTTGTGCTGCATACAATGTAACTGGAAGCAGCAGTAGCGGCAGCCTCAACAGCAGAGGCAGAAGCCGCAGCGGTAGCTGAGCAGCATGACAACTTGTGACAACGTCAACTTGACAACGTTTGAGAAAAAAAAAGCGCGAAATGCAGACCGGCACCACCCACAAGGCTGTGTGCCACGGGGATATTCGTGACTCTGCAGAAGAACTGGCCTTTACATTTTGGTGTCCCCTGCCCTGGCCTGCCACTTTCCGCACGCCCATCGCATGCGAGCAGATCGCGTTCGCCTGTTTGTTGCGAAAATCGCTCAGAAGAATAGCAGTGGCAACTGGGTTTGCACCACGTGCCAGCACTCTTTCGGCTCCGGTGAAGGGCTGACCCAGTTTCATGTGAACCAGCACGAGAGAGGTCGACCGCACACATGTGAGGGCGATGGCGGTCGGTGTCCGCAGTTGCATTCTCGAGTAATTCGGACTGCTCACTTGTGCTTACCAACATTTCAAAACCTCGCAAGACCCGTTACTTTGTCTATCCTCGCGGCACGCATGTCGCGCAAAGTATCAATGCGTGCATGCAGCTTTCTTTGTCGATGTGTGCGAATGCGTCGCCTACTACGCAACTTGACACAGTATGAACAGTAGAACGATTAGATCATTATTCCGTCTCTCAACGGCGGATCAATCAATATTTACTCACATCCGCAGGCGTGGTGCTGAAGCTAAGCGTCAGAGGAATACAATGCTGAGGTTTTTTAAACCGACGATTACGGGCGGCGGGAAGGGGTCGAGGGACGTGATGGATAGCAGCAGTGGCGCAAGCAGTGACGTTTAGGTGGTTACGACGGGAGTTGCAGGCGGGCGTGAGGGCGGAGCAGGCGCGGGTAGCGACGCTGAGGTGGTTGCGACGGGAGTTGCAGGAGGGCGTGAGGGCGGAACGGGCACGGGTAGCGACGGTGAGGTGGTTGCGACGGAGTTGTGAACGGGCGTGAGGGTTGTGAGGGCGCGAGCAGCGAAATGGATGGAACTTTCTCCGACGCTGCACACGAGAGTGGTTCGACCGATATGGTGCGCGTCCAAAACCCCCTCCGCTGCGCGGGATTGCGTCCGAATGTTCGGGAGCCTCTTCTCCAACACTACCCAGGAGCTTTGCATGGTGTCTTCAAAAAGGGGCTGTCGTGGGAGGCCTGGATAGACCCGAATGGCGTGGCTCTTTACGCCGTGGAATCCGTCTCCCGCGGCATCCTGAGCCCAGGTTGTGCTGGAGCAGTGGAAGAACCAGGAGGCACGTGCGAGCCGTGTGTTGACATCAAGGGTAGTAAGGTTTACAGAGGTGAGACCACGTAGCGAAAAAAACGCGAAATAGGAAGGCACAACTAGGAAGGCAAGACTATTTAACTGTCGTACCCTCATTCCACCACACATCCATGTACTTTTTTTTAATTGGATTGTTCCCTCTGCACCCCTTCCGTCTTGGAGCAGATCTGGTTCAACGATCGATCATCGTTGGAGCCAGAAGACTCAAGGTTGAAGCACCTTGCTCTAGATTTGTTGCCTCCTCACCAGCAACGAGGCAGGCTGACGCGGTGGAAGAAGAAGTTCGAAGTGCAGAAACTGTACACTTTGAACCAACTCAGGAAGTGCGCCGCTTTGCATGGTCGTGTTGCACTCGCGAACAGTATCTTCATTTACATGGCAGACAATGACGTGAATGGCATTCGAAGACAAATTGCTATTATTTGTGGATGGGTGTTGCACGTGGCGAAGGTGATTCCACCGCCGTAGGCTCATCGACAGCCCCTCTTCGGTATGTTGCCGGCTTGACTAAGCTTGGAATGATGACGGTTCGACGCATGGGTATGTGTCATTTGGTTGTGTCATTTCGCTACATTCGACCGAGGTCAAATGTCGTGGACTTGTCGCAGAGGCTAGAGAAGTTCTAAGCTACTTGTAGCTGAGGGGTTGTCCCCAAGCACTACTGCTGTACTTCGACGTGGCAATCTACACCTTCCTAGTAACAAGGTCCTGCTTGCACGTCGTGCCGTGAACACCACCACACGCAAGCACACGCAATGGAGAAGGAGAAAGCCAAAAGAAAGCCTGTAAGAAAATATTAAAAAAAACAAACTTTTTTCACACCCCTCCCGGGGGGGGGGGGAGGGGGGTAGGGTTAGGTGTCGGAATTTTTTTTTTTTGTGCACCCTTGGTTGTTTTTGAATAATTTTCTGCATGTATTACGTACGTACGTCGAATACCGCCAAAAACGTTTTCGGCGTCCTGTTGCGGCAAACTAACTGCGGTTGCCGCACTTTAGGCCTGCGGCTTAAATAAATGGAAAGCTGCGCGGAACTTTATGTCTGGTTCTTGGTTGGTTGGTTGGTGTTCCCCGTCGCCCTTTGCCCTTCGCCCTTCGCCCCCCCTCTGACTCCCCCGCTCCCCTGTTCCTCGCTCCTCGCTGCCCGTCCACCCAGCACACCCTTTCGATTGTCACTGACCCTTCCAACACTCTGAGTGCAATCATGCCTCCTTCATCTCCTGTCGTCTGGATGTTTCGAACTCCGTCTCGATGTGCCTCATTTTGTCACCCGCAATAGACTTGTCGCATGTCTACATAGTACCAGACAGACAGCAGCGTGGATGATATGATATCATCTGGCGTATGATTAAGGGGAGCCGATTGTTTGTCGCAGCGGTTCGAAGGTAGGTGCATTCACACATAGATCGAGACGAGGGTATTGAATATAAGACAACAGCAAGCGGATTGAGCGACAAGAAGAAATAGGTTTGGGCTCTGAAAAGGACCAATCAGCTACATAATAACTAGAAAGAATGTACCAGCTGCTGTGGCTTCGACGTGGTGATGATGATTCGTGAGCACATAGAGGGGGGGCACTGGTAGTACGGGGTAATGAGCCGAGGGGCACGACTCAATACCTAGCAGTGGTCTAGTGCCAGGCGTTTTAGCCACCAACTGCTGTATGTACCCACACACACCCGGAGACTTGTCTCGGCAAGTTCGTACCTATATTATATACACATGCGTTTCCTTGTAACGTCCAGAAAATTCGGCTGCGAGCGGATGATCAAGACAAGGTGCTTCCGTTTTCCCGCTGGATGTATCAAATGCTACACGGCGGAGGAGCGAGAAATACACAAACACGACACTCTGCGATCTTCAAGAAGACTGGTGCATCCGCTCCTACCCGCTGGAGTGATCAAACACACGCTGTACACAGCACAGCGGAGGAACCGCTGTGAGGTAATCACTCGCCCACAGCTACCCACCAAATATTGGCACTTCCCAGCACCGCCGCCAGCAGAAACATTGGCGGCAGGCACCAATGAAGACGCTATTTTGATGTAGATTGAGCCCATCCATGGGGCGGCGTGGTGTGACAAGTGACAGAAGCACTGCTGTGTCCTTTCTCGTGTTCCGCTTCCTGGAGGCGGCCCATGCCCGTTCATGCCCGGGCAGCAGTGCACGGAACATGATACCGGGAACACAGACGAATACAAACGCAGGTAGAAAAGTGTCCTCCGCCTGCAAAGCGGTGACGCCGACTTCCACCTGCCTGCATGGGACAAGGTTGTGTTGTGCTTTCTTCCATTTTATGTAACCAACACGATGTGCCACAGGGCGCACGGGCGGGTTCGAGAGTTCGTGGGCTCTTCCGTCTTCCTCCGCTTGTTTGCACCAACAACCTTGAACTATGGAAGTTGTGCCATGTAAAGATATAGCTGGCAAAAACGTCTGAAGCCTGCCTTGCTTTTCCCTCAAAAGCAAGGGTGAGGCAAGCAATAAGTGATACGCACCGTCCGTAATTGCAAGTACTGCCAGACCAACTAAAATAGTGATGGTCTCTAAATCACGAAATTAACGGGTGCTGACAAATTAGAAACAGCAACCCAACCCATGTTGTTGGTAGAGGGACGAATTTGGTGACCACCCGATACTACATACCAGGTAATGGGAGACGGTGGCACCCAACATGGACAACACAGCCGCAGCTTCGGACCAACCACAGATGGTGTGCAGTCGCCGAGCAGAGGACAAGGAGGACAGGGGGCGAACATTGTTGATTGGAGACAACCCGCTGGTTCAATTCGCGGGACACGCCAAGCTCGAATGGGATGTGACACCGACTCAAAGGAGGATCAAAACCCACCCCACAAACGAAGCTTTCTCTTACTACTCATCCCTCCCACCACGAAAAAGAAGAAGAGCAGCATGTTCATTCAATCCCGCGACAAAACAATGGTCATGCGTGGAAAACAAGATGGGTAGATATGAAACACACACCCGCTCAACTACTCGACAGCCTCCATCAATTCGGTCCGCACACGCTGCGCAGCCCGAGCTCCGGAAACACCAAGAGGGAACTTCTTCATCACATTCATGAGTCTTTCACAACAAGGTGGAAAACGCCCACAGCAGCGTTTCTTGTACACGTCTAGATCGCCCCACGACAAACTTCCTCGAACAACAAAAAGCAAAGGGCATGCAGAGCAAGACCAAGACGTCCGCAAGAAAGCCTAACGCCTACCCACCCTTGGCTACACCCCTCAAGAGGTTGTTGCTTCAACAAGCAAGCCAACTACGTCCGCAAAGCAACGTGGGGCCAACAAAAACGCCCCAATTTTCTTTGTGCCCGCCTAACCGAGCCCCGCCGGAACGCCACCCCGCTCCGGCGACCCGCCGTCGCCTTCATCACCGTACGGCTTACAAGCGGTCCAGGTAGCGGTCCAGGGGCGGGATGTCCTCGACGAGGCCCTTCCTCTTGCGGACTTCCCTCACGACCGTGTACGACTTCGAGCCCTCGGATTGCGGGTCTCCGCTCATCTCCTGCCAGTGGTCGAACACGCACTGGGGGAACGCCTTGCCGCCGGTGTTGGAGCGGAGGTCCTTCGTGAACCCGAACGACTCCATGACGGGCAGGTACGCCTTCAGCGTCATCATCGGGGTTCCCGGGCGCTGCTCCTCCGCGAACACGTGCCCGCGGCGCTGGGTGAGCACGCCGTAGCAGCCGCCCATAGCGTCCTGGGGGCACGAGATCTCGCACAGGAAGACGGGCTCCAGGAGCATGGGCGAGGCCGTCAGCATGGACGCGTACACCACACGGCGAGCGGTGGGCATGATCTGTCCCATACCGCGGTGGATGGCGTCGGCGTGGAGGACCACATCCAGGAGGTTGAACCGTACTCCGCGTACCTGACGAGAGGCAAGATAAGGATATAGTAACGGAGGAAAAACAGGTCGGGGTTGTAAGATGAACCACATCGAGGACTTGTCTGCAACATTATGCACATCTCTTAAGGCTGTGCATGGAGGCTGACAACGCACAGTCGTCACGACCAAACACACAACAGACTATTCATAGTTTTGATTTTAAAGTTGACAACTCACGTCTTCCCATCGAAAACGAACGACGCGGCGCCCTCAACATCGTGTCCGTCTGCAACGGAAGCCTCGGCTGTTGCCCAAAACTGAACTAAACACCGCAGCATTCAGTTTTTGATGTTTCAAAGAGCCATGAACAACGCCGCCGCCAAACCGCATACACAAAATTCTCACACAACTGCTGTGTTGCAGTGCTAAAACACCACAAAAAACGAAAGCAATCTCACCTTCTCCTCCGTCATGGGGCCCTCGTTCATGGCCCAGTTGAAGCCTCCGATAACCGACTCCCTGATTTCGCCCAAGTAGTTGACACCCTTGGTAACGTCGACGAAGATGTTGGTTCCGGTTCCCTCGGGGCCGAAGGCCCAGATCTTACGGGCCTCGCTCACGTCCCAGCTGTACGTGTCGGCGAGGTAGCGGGCGCGCGTCTGCAAGAAAAGGAAGGGTGCGCGCGCCACACGCGGTAGGACGATTCAAAAAATGTGAGGCAACGGAGAAATTCGGTGCTCGGGCAATGTGCCAGGGGGAACCAAGAGGTAACACACAACGCAACTCGCTGAAAGGGGCTGACGCAGGTAAATAGGTGTATCGGGGCAAGTTGGGAACAGGGACCACTAAAGCCGAACTTCACTCAAGCACAACATCATACCGCCCTTTGAAGACGGGGAATAACAAGAAATGTATCCGAATTTCCGTCAACTACCGATACATGCAGAGCCACAAACGCGTTGTGCTTCACGCGCCCTCCCCTGAAACTGGCATCTTTGAATACCGCGGAACACAAACCTACTCCACGTACAAAAATCCAAGGTAGACGCGACAAGTATATAATTGCACAGCCGAACACACCTTGGCGTCGTCCCTGGGGTTAAGACGGCCCTCCTCCACGTCCTCGGGGATGCCCGACTCCAGGGGGCACGCGGACAGGTACAGACGGTTGTGCTTGTTGGGCGACTTGGAGAGACACTGGGTGCTCGACTCCGCCGACACGGTCTCGCGGTAGGACACAACCGGCTCCGAGATCTTAACGTCAGTGCCCATGAAGTCCTCCTGGAGGTCCTTGAGGCAGATCTCCAAGTGAAGCTGTACGAATCAGGAAAGGGCCAGCGAGAACGCAATTCGGGAATGTCAGCGTGACATCAGCTGAAAGCGTTGAAACAAAGAAGCAACCCATGTATATCGCTCGCACACTTGACCTACATCGTCGAGTGTTCCAAACGTCCGAGTGGAAAGCTTACTGAGAGTAGACAAAGGAGTATTCCAGGGCACGCCCAGACCCGAAACAATGCAGGAGGCGTTTTAACCTCAAGCTACGTATGACCAGCAACCGTACTCTCATCACGTCTATAAAACACAACTTTTGAACGCAGTTTGTCCAAAAAGCTTGCGGCGGAGGGAAGCCAATGCTTGAACACAACCGCAATGGCAAGTGCAAAAGCCTTGAATATTTGTGAACTTATAGGCGTCGCTTCTTCAACACAACCGCAAGCGGTCAGGGCACAACGGACAAAAGAAAACACGCACACACCTCTCCGCATCCGGCGATAATGTGCTCGCCAGACTCCTCCGTGTAGCACAGAACCATGGGGTCCGACTTCGACAGCCGCTTCATGCCCTCCACCAGCTTGGGCAGGTCCGCCTGGTTCTTCGGCTCGACGGCCACGCGCACGACGGGGGACACGCTAAACTTCATCGTCTTGATGCAGTGCCCGGTGTCCGAGGTCGTGATGGTTCCCGACTTGAGAAGGTACTGGTCCACGCCCACGAGACCGCACGTGTTACCCGCCGGGATGTCCTGCACCTGCTCCACGTACCGGCCCATCATGATGATGGTCCGCTGGATGTTCTTCACCCAGAGGTCCGACTTCTTTCCGGGGACGTAGTTGGGGCCGAGGATGCGCACCTTCTGGCCGGTGGCGATGGTGCCCGCGAACACGCGGCCGAAGGCGTAGAAGCGACCCTTGTCGGAGGTGGGCACCATCTTGGACACGTACCTGATCGGGAAGCAATAGTGGGTGGGAAAATGGGTGTGTGCGTGAGAAATGAGTTTACACAAACTGCCCTGTTTGATCGAATCTCGTTGATATCGTCCCCTGAGGAAAGCGCACAGGACACTCGAAGAGAAGAAAGAGCGCTGTACACCCACACAACACCCTAGCGGCATTACGAACCGGGCCAACAAACCAACTTTGAAGACACCACCAAGTACTGTTTCAACCAGCAATGCCCAACCCTGATTAATCTCTGCCTCGCTCCGCTCTTCGCGCACAGCAGAGACAGTAAGAACGCAACCGACAGATATCACACCCCTGGACCGATTTTCAAAGCCCGATTACTCCATCACGAAATATGATGCCGCATGGGAGCATACGTTTTCGGTAAGCTCTCGACGAGACGGTTTCAACACGACGCCACTGCTTTCCATGCCGAGATAACGAGCGTCAAAAATCGCTCCAGGGGGTGTGTGATATCTCACGCAACGTACGGACTCACATGCAAAGAGGGGCACCGGGGGAAGTGTCGCAGGTACGGATGGAGTTGGCCACCTCGTCGTCGAGGGGCCCGTCGTAAAGGTTCTCCACACGGTACTTCTGGGCCTGGGGGGGGGACGGCAGGTGGACCACGATCATCTCCAGAACAGCGTCGGCGGCGGGTAGCCACTTCTGCATGACGCGCTTCAGGAGGGGCTTGCCGACAAGCTCCTTCTCCTCGCCCTTGAGGGTCACGCCCACCGCGGTAAGCATCTTCTGGATCTTCTGCTTCTTGTCGTCCATGATGGCGTCGAACATCTTGCAGATGGGGGACATGATCCACTGGCAGAAGGCACGCTCAAGCTTGCCGTTGTCGCTGTTCTTCTTCCACTGTTTTGTTTGTTTTGAGGGTCAGGGCAGTTGGATGCGGAGAGTCAAGCAGGGGATGTTAATTGGGGTGGTCAGTACGCGGCAACTGCAGCAAGACACCGGGTGAGACATGGAATCACAAAGGGGCCGCGCCCTACTCCGGGCGAACTGCACTGGGGGACGTTCTTCATCTGGATATATGAGAAGACCGCAGTTTCAAGCTGAGAAAAGAGATGACAGATTGCCGCCAGCGTCATCTGCGTCAACGTTCTTCGTACAGCTCGCAATAGGATGAAACAAAAGCAGTCTGCGGTCTCCGTCCAGGTTTTTCTCTGTAGCGACCGGGTTTGCACACAGACGCCGAAACTTGGGCGGCATAACGGCGCGAACGTAACGCTTCACGCCCAATGCAAGTCTTGCGACCATTAAACTTCAACAAAGCATTCGTTTTGGCCGGAAGTGACGACAACAGAGGAGCACACTGTTTCGCGACCAAAGAGAAAAAAAGCCGCACCTCCTTGCCTTCGCGACAATAGAGAAGAAAACAAAAAGACGCACCTTCTTGCCGGCGGCGTCGAAGTACCAGTCGCCCCACAGCTTCTGCATCATCTTCTCCTCCTGGGTGCCGAACTTCGCCGCGTAGATCTTGGCGAACTTCTTGAGGGTGAAGCCCCACTGGTGGAGGCCGGACCCGAAGGCGACGGTACCCTTGTCGGGGTACACCTGTTGGGTGTTGGGTCGTGTCACAACGGTCATTAAGATATACCGCAGGATGTTGTACATGGTTCCCTTGAACTGCATTCAAGTACGATAGTACGCCAATGTACTTCTTGATCGGGTGCAGGACATTGGTAAATACTTCTAAGCAACCAGGGGACAGCGATCGAAACGGGAAAAGCAAAAAAGGCGAGCGGTCTATTGCCCAAGGGCCACGCCACTCGTACAGAATCTTGCGGCAGCGGAAGATTGCAACCGTGTAGCATAAGTGGGATCAGAGGGAACGAGAAAACAAAAAGAGTTTGAATGTCGAAGGATGACGCTGGGGTTTGTGGTACCTCACGCCACCTGCGGTAGCGGTGTGTGTGCTACCACACTCCTCTCTTTCACTAGACTAGTAGAAATCTTAAACCAACACCAAATTCGCCGTGCGAATTTTTTTGGGCATCACAACGACAAAGTATCGTTTCCAACAGCAACGAAATTCAACAGGCCGGCGTACCAAAGAAGAAACTTCAACCAAGCTGCGAGAATCTTTTAGCTAGGACGTGACGAACAAATTTGTGAGTAAGCAGCGACTCACGAGTATGCCATCTCGGGATATGATCGTCCCTCCGACTCGCGGAACACGGTCAGCCGAGAAGCAGACAGTGTAAAAAACCCACACTTTGAGACGGAAAATCCCACGACGAAACGGACAACAGGGTGGTTAATGCTGTTGTCTTCACATTTCAAACCGTTCCGATCTCCACCACCCAGTATCTCAATTTATCCAACTATAACCACTTGACTCGGTCGATTGCCGTGGTTGCACGCTAACCCAACCAAAACAAGGTTGACTGCAATAAAAAAAACCTGAAGGCTCTGAACCTCAACAGAAATCAACGGCAGCACAAAGTGAACGGGAACATCACCTGCACGTCGCCGAGCAGCTCATCGTTGTAGGTGGCGATGATAACGTTCACCGACTCGATGGCACGGGCGAAGGACTGGTACATCTCCTCCGGGGGGAGGTGGAGCTCCAAGAGAGCGCGGTCCACCTGTTTCGACGTCAAGAACCAAGGGCACACGGCTGTCAACATCGAGGAAAGAGTGCTCGGAAACATTATCACCGCAGGCGGCTATCGGCAGCCGACTTGAACCAGGAGCGAGAAAAAAATCGTCGTGACCCAGAAGATGCTCAACTAGACTGGCCGCAGGAACGGTAACGGCAAGCGGCAGGGAAAATCATACCAGCCCAGGCTGAGCGGTGCAGTCGTTCTTGCGCACCCCAACGACCAGACCATTTCTGAGACTATTTTAGACGCGAAACGCCACTTCTTGCTTCAACCTATTCCGGTTGCGCATGCCGCAGCCCTCCTTTCCAACGGCAGGAGCCACATGCGATGAGGACACCATCACCTCAGCAAAACGGAACATGTAAATTTGTGCAAGCACGCGCCACAAAAACACTCTTTGGTATCATTGGAAAACATGCACACGTTCGGCACGGGTACTTTCGGCGTCCTTACCTTGTTAACCATGAGGACGGGCCTGACACGCTCGCCGATAGCCTGGCGAAGCACCGTTTCCGTCTGCACGCAAACACCCTCGACGCAGTCGACCACCACAAGGGCACCGTCGGTTACACGGAGAGCGGCGGTAACCTGCAGCAGCCGTCCAAACAAACAGCAGAAAAGAGGAGGGGGCGAGTTCGAGAACCACGGTCGGCAAGGAAAAGAAACACGCCACGAGGTCGGAAGAGAAAGAGGCACCACCCAAGTACACGGTGACGGTTGAGAACCGGGAGTGCCGATAAGCCACAGCCGTAGACCCGTCCTGACACACCCGTCACATTGAGGCATAACCTCGGCACAAGGACTTTCAGCTGCTACGTTAAACCCACACGCCAGCAGACCTACCCCCGCTATCATAGTGCAGCGCAGCCCTAAGTTTGGCGCTCTGGTGTCAGGGAATAATCTTTTCCACTGGCAGAGACAAGCATAACCGTAACGGCGCACACAAAAGAGATGGCACAACAAACACAGCGGTGCAAGGGCAGCAGAAACAGACATCGATTTACCTCACACAACAAACAACATAATGGTAAAAGAGACGAGGAACCCATCATACCTCGGACGAGAAGTCGACGTGACCGGGCGAATCGATGAGGTTGATGAGGAAAGAGGTCTCGTCGATCTGGACGTGGTCGGCCTTGGGTGTGTCGTTGGCCTCTCCGGCAGCGGCCGCGGCTTCGGCGGCCACCTTAGCGTCCTCAGCGGACTCGCCGGCGCTCTTGGAGGCCTTAGCCTCGAGCTCCTGGCGCGCCACCTACGGGGGGATGGGGGAGAGAGAGCGGGTTCGTTGAGCAACCGCTTTTCGCGAGGATGTTGTTGAATCTATGAAAAAGAGAGGGTCCTGTAGACCTATCCGTCATCCCTTTTACAAATGAAAGAAGCTTTTTAATCTCGCGCAGGATGTTGCTGAAAGCAAGCCACAAACGAATCAGACAAGTGGAAACAAACGGCGCGGCCAACCCGCTACCGAGGAACTGTATTGTAAGCATCACGGACGGTTGTTGAGCGAGAACGTTCGCAAACTTAGCGTAGCAAGAGGTGGGAAGGAGAAACTTGGACATGCCGACATTTTGGTGTCTAAATCCTTCCTGTCGAGCTTGAATGCTCGCATAGAGCCTCTGCTCTGGACATGGGCCAGTGAGTCGCACAACTTCAGCAGCATTGGAGGGCACAACCAAAAAACCTGGTACATAGTTCTAAGCAGCTAAAGATCGAAAAATGCCGATCATTAAGATTTAGCTTGGGGCATTTATTGCGTCTTCCCGACATCAGGCAAGATAGGTGCGCGACAGCCGCAAGGGCAGCGCTGAACGCTTCGCACCATACTCGTGAGGACAGAGGTCTCATGAGCAATACGTGTCACCCGCTGCGGGGGAGGAGAATATCGGTATTGCTAGCGTGATCGAAGGCCAACAGAACGTTTCACGGCCTGTTGCGAACGTTGCATCGACCAGGTCATGGCTCTATTGTATGCTGCTGTTGTCAAGATCATCAGCGAGGTCCAACCGCTTGTAACGACAACAGGCTGTGAACCTGCTGCTGCACTGCCAGGGGCTACCGTAGTACAGGGCGCGAGCTTGTTTTCGCCTATCACACAGTTTGCGCTCAGCCATGTGTATAACATTGCACAATGCACTACACACCACGAACGGGGCAACCTTTTGTTGAGCTGTTGCGCTGCAGGGCAATCGCATTCAGGGCGCGAGCTTGCCTTGTGCAAAATGTTACACACTTCACTGCACACAAAAAACGGGGCAACCCCGTTGTTGAAAAATAAAAACATGGTTTGGAATCCAACAACCCTTCAGCAGTCCGTCTTGCCGCACCAACCACGAACGGGATTGAAGACACGGCTGCACAACGATATGGGAGAAGCATTTTTTGCCCTTTGGCAGAGTGAATCTAGAATATAAACGCCCCGCTTTACCAGAGGGCAAAATAAACGGTGCACAGCGCACCGCCGTCGGCAGCAAGGAGAGGGACGCGGAACACTCGGAATATTAGCAAGAAAACAACAACCACGGCAGCAACAGTAGTCAGATTACAAGTTGCAAGGCACAAGACAGCCCGCTCACCTTCTCTCCGGCGTCGAGGTTGTACTCGAAGAACATAGAGATGCCGGTGGACTTGATGGTGATGCAGCGGTCCTGCTCGTCCTGACGGGTGTCGGTAAAACGGGCCTCGCCCGCGTTCTTCGCGGCGATGATGCCGGCCTTGGACACGAGCGAGTCAGTCAGCGTGGACTTGCCGTGGTCCACGTGCGCGATCACGGACATGTTCCGGATGTTGTGCTTCTTATCCATGATCTCACGGAGCTGATCCGTAGTGAAGTTAACCTGCGGGCATCGTCGTAGTAGCGTAGACAGGAGAGAGGGAGAGGTGAGGAGGGGCCAGAGGGCAAAAATCGGAAGGCTGGACGAGCGGCCACGCACACCCGCGCGGGGGCAACAGCTTCTCCCAGTTCCGCCCCAACTTCCCTCAGACGCCGCCATGACGCCAGAGAGCAGCGCAAAATTATGCACCACGGCGCATAGATCCACACTTGTGCCCGGCACTCGAGCCACCCGTGACTCCGCGAGCCTGCTGCGTCCGAGCTCCTCCCTAGAGTTCCTCTTCCCCCGCCCCGCTACAGCGCCTGTGCGTGTGCGACCGCCACACACACATGCCAAAGACCTCTCAAATAACTTATCCATCCTCGCCAGAAAGCGCGTCGTCTCACCATGGTTAAGCAGGTAGAGGCCGCGGCCAAGCTCTACCAGTAGCACGTGGGGGGGTGAGGGGCAACCGAGCGCCCGCGTTGTTGAGAGAGCGGCAGAGATTGCTTTGGGAGAAGGAGAGCAAGGCCACACATTCAAGACGCGGCCTTGGGGAGGGGGGCTTTCATGCATACCAGCTTTCGAACCAATCTCCTTTGTCGTGCCCCCTGGCTCGCCGCTCAATTGCGCCGCTTGTCGCCGCTCTGATGTGTGGGTAAGAATTTTTATCATGCAAGATGGAACCTCGCAGCACCCACTCGTGCCTGATAGCAGTTGCCCTTAGGCTCGTTCGCGTCACCTCGAAGCGTGCGCGCCCACATGTGCTGCAAAAGGAGGAGCGAAAGAGACACGCAGAGGGCGGAGAGAGGACTGCAAGCAATTTTCGCCCATACTGTATGCAAGTGAATGCGACAGCAGTTACATTTTATTTCGACGCCGCGACATCGGGCGACGCCAATTCCGAGGACGGTCGTGACATGGTACGGGAAGAGCGTTCGGCTAAATAGTCCAGAGTCGGGCCTCGATGTTGGTATGATTTAGTTGACCACTTGTAAGGGAGAGAATACTGTCGAGCCACGGCGGTAGTCTATTGTAGACTTCATCATATATATATGGTATGTACGAGGTTTTGGGCGCTGCGCGCCCCCGCTTTATTTGAAGCGATTCCAAGGCAATGTTTTATGTTAAAGGAGGACCCGATTAGCAGCGTATCCGTCGATTGACTTTTACCAGAATCGGTACAGCTTCGCAAATGGCTTTAGCAGGATACTGATTCGAATCTCCTTAGGTGCACGTTTTTTCTCCTGACTTGGACATTTTCCCACAGACACAATGTTTGTCATCAGTCCTGAGAACACCTCTCTCTCTCTTACTGGAATCGATTCTACAAAGAACCATGTGACCTTTGTGACACTCCCATCGAATTACCGGCCCTGATGGCCACAAGAGGTTCCCAATTGAGGGTAAGTTCTGTGGGTGGAGAGTGTTAAGGAGGATCCCATTCGCAGGGTATCCGTCGATTGACTTTTACCAGAATCGGTACAACTTCGCACTTTTCTGAAAGTGGGTGTAGGATGTTGTTAAAATGAAGGTAGGCACCGATGGCAGTTCAAGTTTCCGTGAAGGTGGAGTTTCCATGATGGAGGGTCGTGTGTGATTTAAGGAGAGGTCCATTATTTGTTTCCCATCGCCGTGCCCGGTACCCCTCCATTCTCTGATACACATCCAGAACTCTTAACTGCGAAAAATAGACAAAATTGTCGGCTGAACTGCGAATGAAGAAAGACAGCACTACCAATTTATTTAACGCACTACTTGAACTGCAAAAAAAGAATAGCACTACGAAACAACAGACCATTCCGACGCGAGAGCGGCGAAGAGAGAAAAAAGCAAAAAATCAAAGACAACGTGGATACACGGACACACACACATACCCAGAGAAGAGATAGAGAGGATACGGTACCAAGGTGATAGGAGGTGAGTACATACCGTGTGAAGGTGTTCGAAGAAAAAAAAAAAGTACATAACCGTTTGAGGTGTTAAAATAAAAAATAAAAAGTACAGCAGTAGCACACGGAATCGGAACCAACAACAGACCATTCCGACGCGAGAGGTCAAGAGAGAAGGCGAAAATGAAAAGAGAGTGAGTGTGGATAGACAGACCGTCAGAGACATAGAGAGACGGAGGAACGGAGGAAAAGGAGGCACACACAGAGGAGAGGGCCGTACTTCGAATGGAATGCGTGGTATGGTACTGAGCGGGGTGACAGCAGCAGGCGAGAGAGATAAAAGCGGAAGACAAAAATGGAAAGTCCACCAAACAAATTGCCAAATTTCCAGAGGAAATTCTGCTCTGTGAGAGCCCGAGAAAACCGGAATAGAGTGCTCACAGAAACCGAAAGAGGCGAAATGAAGCGTTCTGACACGTTCTGAGAGAAAAGTTAAATTGTAAGAAGACTAATCTCTCTCTCTTACACTACGTACCATCGATATAAACCACACAAATTTCTAGGGTAGCACAATGTTTTATCCCGATTGTTGATCCTCCTCTTGTTGCGGTGCTTGCCTATACTTATATACATGTATCTCGACAAGCTCTTGTTCAGTGATACCTTCTCTTGGTCGAAAATAAAAGTGGAGTTACATGTACCCACCAACTTACCTCTCGCACCATTGTTTGCACGTTTCGAGCTTCTCGTCCTGGTGCAACAAACAACACAACATTTATTTACTGCAAGACACCGTTTGCTTTTAGCGATTCATCCTTGACTGACTTAAATTGGTATCACGCCAGACATCACGGCGACCAATGGAATATCAAAGCCAGGTAGGTTATGGTGTGTATGCTCAACGACTTCCTGTGCAACATTATACCTGGGTTATTTCCAGGCTCCGTCATGGATTGCAGTGAGCGCAATAGGCACACAGGTGACTAGAGTGATACTCTGCGACTATCGTCGACCATCGTAGCAAATTATGTCAACAACATGGCTGATTTGTGCAAGTAAACGAGATAAACATTTCCACTCAAGGCGATCGGGTAACAACGAGCTCATGGTACAAACTATATGGTACACACATGACAAAGCTCTTTCAGACAGCCCCGGGGAACGCCTCTCCCCCAAATTCTCAACAGGTCAGCCGGTCGTCACTCATATGAGAAAGGCTAAAGTCATCCAGTGTCACCCAAATAGAGGTCGTCTGTTGGCAAAATTACGAGGCCACGACGTCTAATAGTATTGAAACGTACAACACGAGCAAACCGCGCACTATTATTGGCGAAATATCCGCCCTCCCCCCCTCTGACCGTTCGCTCACCTCATAATATCGAAACACTAACGACAAGCTCAACGGCAGCACGCCGTCTAAAGCGGCATTTTCCAACGAAGGTCTCATTGCCTTGCGATTCTGAAGCTCATACTTGTTGAAATTCTCCACAAAACTCGCGAGGGTGTCGCAAAAATCACCTGCCTCTAGGTGGTGTTCGAAGAGACGTTCGAGTGCCCATGGGGTGTCGAGCATCGCGCTGCCGTCGCTGGATACAACCAGCATCGTCACACATCCCCCGTGACATACAACACGCCTTCACCTCCATTCCCCACGCCCTCTAATGTGTCTTGTCCCTCAGAAAACCAAAAACACGAAACTGACACAAACGCCATTTCTTCCGTGAAATGCAAGGCAACACGATGGACACCCCGCGGTGCAACGCACGCTCTACTGTGACCACCTCTTGAACAATGCACACCTCTCCGACCTCCACGTCTGGGTTCAATGCACCAGGGATGCAATTAAGTCATTAGCTGGTGCGCTTGCGTTGATGCCATGTTCACCCTGGGTTAACCCGTTTGCCACCCACCCTCTCCATCGTTGGTGTACGATAATTCGCCACGTTGCGAAGGCTCGCCGCTCAGGAAACTCATGTATCTAGCAGCACTACTCCCCCCCAAGCAATTGGTGTACCGCTTTTGTTCATGGTCCATCCCCTCTCAGCGGTGGTGTTGAGACTGGGGACTATGTTATCCCAGCAACGGCAGGTGAAGGAAAGCAATAATGAAATATTCCACAAGCAAGCCCCTCAGGCAAGCGGGTCACACACGTGTGTGTGTACGGACACACATACCAACTACCTAAAACAAGGAGCGTTCACCCCTCAGGCGAGTACCAGGAGCACACCTGCGCGTGATCACCTGGGGGAGAGCGCACTTGGACCCCAAACGCATACATACCCATCACACACATACTTCCCATACGCGAATCTCCCAAAAACGACGCACTGATCGGACTCATATCCAAGTACCACACACAGCTTTCGAGCGTGTCGTGCCACGAAGGACAGGAAAGAAGTCGTGAAATGGAGGGGATCGCCAACTCGGCATGATTGGGCATAACCGGCTTTCCCCCTGACAGCCGTGGGCTTCTCTTCCATGGAGATCGAAATTGTACATGCATGTGTGCCCAATTTCCTACCCATAACCTCCCTGTTCTACTTGGCCGAAAGCAGAACCCGCACAACCGGAGGCGTGCCTCCACAGCTGTCATAGCAGACAACGTCCGCCGCCAGTCACAGTTTGTACGGAGGCCGGCCATACCACTGCGGACAACGACTGCTTAAAATTTTGGCCAAGTGATAGCTCTTGGAGGGAGTCCGGCCACAAGACTCCGACGATGGGCTGGTTGAATTCACGACCAAACGATAGCTGCTGCAGCGAGGACGGCCATACGACCCCCACGATGGGCTGGTTGAAGGAGTATCCAAACGATAGCTGCTGCAGGGAGGTCGGCCACACGACTTCGACGATGGGCAGATTGAAGTTACCCTCAAATGATAGCTGCTGCAGGGAAGCCGGCCACACGACGTGGTCGATTGGTTGATTGAACTGATTACCAAACGACAGCTCCTGCAGGGAGTCCGGCCACACGGCTCCGACGATGGGCTGGTTGAAATCGTCTCCAAACGACAGCTGCTGCAGGGAGGCCGGCCACACGGCTCCGACGATGGGCTGGTTGAACTTTCGACCAAACGAGCTCCTGCAGGGAGGCCGGCCACACGGCTCCGACGATGGGATGGTTGAAATCATAACCAAACGACAGCTCCTGCATGGACGCTGACTACACGGCTCCGACGATGGGCTGGTCGAAATCATCTCCAAACCATAGCTGCTGCAGGGAGGCCGGCCACACGGCTCCGACGATGGGATGGTTGAAAGCATCTCCAAACGATAGCTCCTGCAGGGAGGCCGGCCACACGACTCCGACAATGCGCTGGTTGAACTTACGACCAAAGTGGAAGGTTGTGTTGTACAACCTGGTGTTTTGTCAGAACGGTTAGAAAGATCAAAGGGGGCACCGTAGGTAAGAGAGAGTTGATAAATAGGTAGGCATGTGTAACGGAAAGAAAAGAAAAAGAAAGAGATGACCCTTGCTCACAACAGAAGAAACATCTGAACGAAAGAGCAAGACAATAAACAAACAAGAGGAGGAGGAGGAGTAGAAGAGAGACAGAGGAGGAAAAAGAAGGAAGCGAGTGTACGAAAGGGAGGAGACAGACAGAGAAAGAGAG